AAAACTTTGGACCAACTTTGTGCCAACTTTGGAAAAACTTTGGATCAACTTTATGTCAATTTTGTGCCAACTTTGGAAAAACTTTGGACCAACTTTGTGCTAGCTTTGGAAAAACTTTGGACCAAGTTTGTACCAACTTTGGAAAAACTTTGTTCCAACTTTGTGCCAACTTTGGAAAAACTTTGGACCAACCTTGTGCCAATTTTGGACAAACTTTGAATAAACTTTGGACCAACTTTGTGTCAACTTTGGACCAACTTTGGACCACTCTAGGTAATTCTGGCAATTCGTTGAGAATATTGGATTCACAAAAACGTAGCATGGTTGGCTAGTCGTTTGCTACTCGAGAGAAGATAGTCCGCCAACGTGATAATTCTCACCAGGTTCTAGCAGAAATTAGGAAAGACTTAATAAACCCGTGTTAACAAGCACGCGAACGAGTCACGTGAATGGCGTCGGCCTTGGTATTCGATATCGAGTTCCAAAATTTTTCACCAGCCTGCAGAGCACGTCACCTGGTCTCGCTTCCCGTGGGAAAAACGCTTCGTCGACGAGTGACGCGCGCTGACGAAGGCTGAACGACTCGCAACGAAACCGCTAATTACCGCAACCGCGACCGCGTTTAACGAGTCGCGTTCGTCGCATTCACGCTTGGTTAACGCTCCTGTCCCCGTCTCGCCAGGAAAATCATTTTATCTCCTTTCCATCCAGCCTCTCCTAGCCTCTGCAACCGATACGACTATCGCTTCGTTCATAGACTCGGGCTAATCTCTGCCAACCCGCTGGATCCTTCTCTATCTCCGTTGTAAACAATTACGGAATGGAACAATGAACCACTGCGAACCAGCCGACTATTCGAGAAATCCGCCGTGTTTATTTCAAACATGGATTCCGGTTTATCGCGCACTCGCGGAGAAAATCCTAGCAACTGGGAAATCTGGGAACGAACTTGGTTAACGAAGCAGCGAAAAAATTCATCAACCTGCAGCGATTCCTATTCAACCAAAGCACCTGTTCCCTCGGTCAAACCGAGGTTTCCATTGAAACGAACGGATCTCACGCGAATCTCCCGATCTTTTCCCGATCTTTTCCCCATCCGCGGTTTTTCTCGCCGAGGAAAAGTCGCGTTGGCGGAAAGCAAAGCGTCGGGAGAAACGGAATCACCGTGTTAAAACGCTGGCAAGGATGATTCACGGGTCACGCGAGAGCTGGAAAAGCATGTGGAATCAGTGAAAAATCGTGGACGTGTGCGTAACGCGTGCGACTGTAGAGGAGTAGATAAGTGGGTGGACGACGATCCAGCAGCGGGCCAGAGTGCGTGCGTACACGCGCACGTACACACGCGTATACACACGCCAGTAAAGGAGAATGGAAGGCGGGGGCGTTCAGTGGGGGGGCCTTAATGAGGATGCTGCTGATTATCCAATTCGTAAATTCTCGCTACATTTTGATCGTGCTCGCCGAGCCGCGAGTAACAAGAATTACTCCGTGCTCCGTGCTACCCGATTTCCTACCTCCATTTTGCCCATTTTCCTCATTTGGACTCGCTTTCTCCTCTCTCTACCTCCTCCTCGTCGCGAACAAAACTTCTCAACGAGATCGAAATCGAAATTGAAATGGAAATCGAAAATCTAAAGGTAAAACGAGATCAATGCCCAGTTGATCCGACGTTTCCTCGATCTCGACGGAAATGCCTCGTCCGCCATTGCGAATAGAATTCTTTCGAGGATCCGTGAATGGAATGGAAGAGAAGAGTAGGACATGATGAATTTTTGATCGGTGTTCCTTCAGCTGCCAAGGCTGATCGATATTTTCGCCGGTTCCTTAAAGGAAAGCGAACGTGTGCATCGCGCATATTAACCACTTTGCAGCATTGACGCAATTGCACCGTCGAAGTGTTCACTGTCAAGGACGAGGCGAGCTCCTTCCTTCGGTGGCAGACATTGGATTAAAACAGTAGCTATGGTATAATAGAAATATTGGGAACGGGGGCTCGTAACGGGACGGGATTTCGCCGCAACGGAGTACTCGAGAGGCTGGCCTCTCTTCTGCTCACCTCTGGACACACCGATCGAGCCGGGTGATAAGAGCCGATGGACAGAGCCGGTTTAAAGGCTGGCCGACAATGGACAGATCGGATCTGTCGAGACATTACACTTGGCGCAATTTAACCCTCGAAGGAGACATCGATCTCGGCGTTACTCCGCGTTTCTCGCGGCTCTATGGGTCACCGTGCAGACGCTAACCTGTTGTTCGTGGAATTGCTTCGCGCGAGACGGGTCTCGCAGCCTCGAGCCTCGAACAAATTGTATGCAAATCGACTGGCGATATTTTTAGACTATCATACGCGCTCTTGATCAATTGTCCCGTACCTTTGGAATACAGATCGTTTGGTAGCCTCCGGTGTCTCTTCCGAGAATTTTCTTCCAAGTACAGACGTGACAAGCTCGGTGGACGTAGTCCTTTTTCGAGTTATCCTCGAGTTTTCTTTGCCATCGAGGAAAATAATCGCGGGAGCAGGCCCCTCTCGTCCCCCGGCGGTCGCCCTACCGTTTTTTCCTCGCGCTGTTTTAAATTTTAAAATAGCACAACACGCAACGCGGTGCGAGCCGGTCTGCGCGATCTAATCGGACAAGTTATACACGAGTAAGTGCTTATGCAGCTACCGCTCATATTATGCAAGCATCACTCGATGTAAGTGCACCTTTTAGTGTCACAATCCAACGGTTAACAGGACACTACAACCATGGCGTCGGATCGATCGTGTTTCAACAGTGGCACAGGCTGGAATAGCTGATTCCAGAATTCTTTCGACTACCCACATAAACCCTTCCATCCTCGAGGCCCTCTCGAGGTGGTAAACAAAATTCCAGGCCGTTTTCACATCCTCCGTGAAGAACCGAGCGAACCGATTTTCCGTCGACTCTGCGCGATTTCGATCGACCGTCCGTGATACTCGAGAGAACGGAATATCGAAACGAAGAGGAGAAACTCGATATACCGGTACTCTAGAATCCTTGCGTATTCCGTAGATACCTAAGCTCGAAACGGTTTCGTTAAAAATTCCACGCAATCCTCGCGAGGATCGATTACGCGGGAATTATCCGGGAACCGAAAGAACATCGAACTCCCGCGGAATAAATTTCTCGGAAAACTTACACGCGCGTAATTGCTATAATTATTGTAATTAGCGACTCGAAAATGTTAGAAACCGCCTCGGAATATGGTACAATTAATCTCACGCGAGCGCGGCAAGGGTAGAGGCAACGATTATGATTACGATTACGATGACGATTACGATTACGCTATTCCCCCCGGCCCGGAAACCTGTTACGCGTTCGTGGCACATATAACCGCGTGCATTAACTGTAAAGATGCCCGATGAATATGCCTGCGAGACCGCGGGAAATTCAACGTCCCCCCACAGGCCACTGAAACGCGCGGTGAATTAACGTCACACAAGGGAGCCTCGAAACCTCCTCCTCCCCCTGTTCTCTCCCCCACGGCTCACAATAGGTATCTTGTGGCGCGTTAAAACTACAATGGCCGCGTACACGGCTAATTGAAACATTTGCCTGGACGATTACTAGACCGGCCGGGTAAACACACGCGTGAGCGTGTCATTTTCTCACGCCAACACCCGATACCCCGGGACAAATTGCATAGTTACGACCTACGTATCGCGATCGCTCGATCGGCCGATCGTGCACGCACGAATAACCTAGCCGAGCCGGGGGGGTGTCTGCATGCTCGGCTGTTATAAAAAAAGAAAAACCCTGCGTTACTTAACACCCCCTCGAACCACGTAACTCCTTCGTAACGTCTATTCGAAATTGAAACACGCAATCGGATGTAGGTTATCGAGATGGAGGTACAGCGAGTGCTAACTCTAATCCTAGGGTCCCTATATCTTCTCAAATCTCGTGAGATCCTAAGGGTTCCTCGAGTCTACGCGTCTCTCTACGTATTTTACCCTCGAAATTACAGTCTAGTCCAATTGCACGTTGCCAACGAGACATGTCTGATGAGCGAATGTACAAAGGCGTGCTAAAATATAGCATATACACTACCGTGACACTGTACCGAACTTAGCTCCCGCAGTTCCTTCTGTTGCACCGATGAAAGTGGAGGGATTATGATATTTTTATGATATTTTATCGCGTGGATTCAAGAAGCTCCCTATCTAAGGGTTCCACGGCTAAATCGAGCAACGGAACCGGTAGTCACGGGTCTGTTAACGAGTGGACGCGATACGGGGGCTTTATTAGTCAAATAAGGCGCGAATCGAACACAAAGGTGGAGCAGATACGGGATCAACCCTTGATTAACTAGCGGCCGATGCTTCTTATAGATCTTCTATTAATATCGCAAAGATCTCCGCGATACTTGCGAACATTCCAGGCCGCGCGGTTCAAGCAGAGTACCCTGGTTACGTATCCGTTTACAAAGGGAAACTACGTAAACGTATCTGCCCACGTAGACTACGAGGGAGCTTGCTAGCGAATATCGAGGAACCTTCTTCGAGTTATCGACCCACGAATCAACGTTCCGCGACCATAACTCGGGAACACGGCCTGTTGGATCTGATCCAGCGGATTAACGACTATCCGCTGCAAGCTTATATTTATCAAAGTAACCAAACGAGACATTCAAAGAGTACATCTTTACTATACGCGACAGACAGATGACTCTGACATTCCTCGCAGAGACACCGTGCTCTAACGGTTCTTCAGTTGACACTAGGACTACCAAGCCTCGGACCTTCGGCTCTTACAGTTATCGAAAGTACGCAACTGCGATTATATACTACTGGTCTTTGTATATTTAACCGCGATAGTTGCAGTGTCAGGCACATCTGCTGGACGCGACTAAGTAAGAGGCGCGGGACCGATAGAGGCCTAACGAGCAAGAAGCTCGCCGACGCTTGACGAATTTACGACTGCCCAACGGGTAGGCGATTTCCAGTTAACCAGGAAAAGTCGTGGAAAAGAAAAACTCACCTAAGGAGCTCTCCGGATCGGACAGGTCGGAGAGTGAGGGCACTTTCCGCATGGAGGTGAACCTGCCTGAGAGGGCAGGCACCAGGCCCTCTTCCTCGGCGTCAGAGGCCAGCTCTTGTTTCATCAACTTCGCCATAACCGTCAACATGCCGCCACCGTCGCTAATGCTGCCGCCTCCCAGATAGCTGCCCACGCCTCTAGCATCGCGCTGAAAGAGAAGAAAGCACGAACTTTCTTTTTAATCCGGTCCATTAACAGAGGGTACATCGTTACTTCTGACATCTCGGATCTCGCGCGACCATCGGGTATCGGATTCGCGACAGGGGAACAACACGGTGAGTCAAGACCCACGTTCTTATTGTCATTATTCTCGGTACACGAGATCGATATCCGACATGTCACGAATTGTCCGGTATCGCGGTTACAAGATAACAGACACCACCGTCCGCTTCTCTATGAGAAGATCGATCGACGTGTTAGCTAACAGGTGGAACTTGTCCAAAGAGAATAACTTTCCTGGAACAAGTGTCGTAATCGATGAATCCGCGTTACTCACGTGTTCATTCGCATTCGTATCCTCATACTACGATACGGTACACACGCCTGTCGTCTGTGTTCTCGGTACGCCTATCGAAACCAGATCCAAGGGATTCTAGGATCAAAGGACGAAACGGAGTCCAGCGAAACGGGGGAAGATAGGACAGAGAAGGGTGGAAGCTGGATAAAGGGGGGGATAGAGATCGGTGATCGGCGAGGAATCGTCGAAAGATCATCGAAAGATCATCGAAAGATCGTGGAAGGATGGTCGAGAGAGCGACGAAAGACGGTGAAAGGAGAGAGAAAGAGAGAAAGAGAAGGTCGAGATCGTAGGTAGGATGAAAGAGTGGCGAGGAGACGGCGTCTCGGTGGAGGCATGAATGGACGGTGAACCTGCTGGAGTTGACGTGCCGGAAGGGGAGAGAAGAGCGGAAAAAGAGCAACGGGAGGGAGGAGAATGGGCAGAGAGCGACAGGAGGTGGAGGGGGCGGATAAAGGAGAGCTCGACGCGGGAGAAAGAAATAAAATCGCTGAATAAGAAACGGGCAACGAGAGAAACGGAACGGGAGGCACGCCATGAGGCGGTAGAGCGTCGAGACGGATGACCAGCGGAGCGACGAGGATGGCGAGCAACGCGAGGGACAAAGATGTTGAAAAGACCGGAGGAGAGGAGCGAGAGAGCGTGAGAGAGGAGCAGAGAAAGAAAGAAACCGCAACGCGATCGAGACGAAATCAAACTTTAGGTGGAAGGAAGACGAACGCACGGACGAGGACGAATTTCATGGCAGAGGGAGAGTTATTGCTCGTTTCAAATATATAGCGCTATGGGCCCAGCGAGAGAGAGATGGAAAGAAAGGCGAGAGGAAACTCGAAAAACCCCGGGACCAGCGGCGATAACCGGCGAATTAACGAATTGACTATCGTAGAGATGGGTGGGAGAGGGAGGAGAAAGCAGTGGGAGTGATGCGGAGAGAGTGAAGATGCAACGGACTCGACGCACACAGCGATAGGCTACGACCGCTTGACCTTCGTGCGAGGGACTCCAAGTTGAATGAAACGCTGCACAAGAGAGTGACGCAACGGTACGCAATGCAACGACAGCGCAGCGACGCGATGCAACATTCTAGCCTCGCCGTACCTACGCTCCGCGTCCCTCTCTCCTTTTACGCCGCTCTTCTCTCCTCTTTCTCCCTTTGCCTCTCTCACGATGCACTCTATCCCCGGACGAGCCCTGCTCGTTGCACTCTGCGTCTTTCCCCTCTAATTCCTTCCACCTTCCGCTCCCCCGCCGACCCCGGACCCTCCGCCGTCAACGAACCGTCCACCAACCGTCCACAAACCGTCCACGGACCGTCCAGTCCATCAGCCACCCTTCCTCCATCGACAGACGCTGACGTCCGTCACGGGCGCAGGACCACGCCGCCATGACGCTCCGATGGTGCACGCTGTCACCCATCTTTTCCATTTCAACCATTTCCCTAATTTCCCTAATTTCCAACTGATTCAACCGTCCAAGTTGAACGAGAGGATCTACCAGGGTTGACGATAAGCGATATCGAGGGTGCCCCGATGATGAGATTTAAGGTGTCGAGGTTATCGAAAGACTACACGCCAAGTCCCACTTTCTCGAATAATCGGTGCTGGTTGCAAGGAAATAAAGATGGACGTATAATATTCGCGTTTATCTACATTGTCGATAACGGAACACGTCTATACACATCGAGTAACCAGGCTACTCTTTGCTGCCATAGGCTCCCTACATCGCCGCTATCGCTTCGAGTAGTCTATCTTTCGAAGACACGCTGCTCCCTAGACGCGTTGCTTGTCTCCCATCGTTGATTCGATGGAAAGTTTGAAGAAGACTCGGGATGTTCTTGGGGCTAATACGGTTTTCCAGCAGAAGCGTGGAAAGCGCGAAGAAAGAACGACGATTCCACGCGTTAATGGGGGGCCGATTACATCGCGAGCCGAACAACGGCCCCTCTGTCTTTCACGATAATTATTTTCCCCTACGTATTGGCGGTATACGAATGCAACACGTGTATGCAGATAGGCGGTCGACTGGTAATTCTTGTCACGCGTTGCTTGCCGTCTTTCTCCGCCAGTCCATCTATCTGTTTACCTATCTCTTCCTCTTTCATCATCGGTATTCGAACGATACCGAGCCGTGCCGATTCGTTCCACTACGTTAGACCTACGTGACCGTACACGCTCAGGCCACTTACTTCCGAACCAAACAGCTAGGCTCGCTCATCCACGACTATCGGGATACATTTTGATACATCACGAGGTGTACACTGTCATCGAATTTTCGAATCCTGCCGACTTTTTCTCTCCATTTCGATTTAATCTAACGTTTGATCACTCTACCGATCTCGTTTCTCTGAGAGAAGCGAAGGAGGAACGAAAAATTGACAATGACAGGCAAGTTTCCAATTTTCCAACCCTTATCGATCGTAGGTGACAAGGGTACTTTGTCGCTGCGGTCGTGCGTCACGTGGGAAGTGACAAAACGGAAAATTTTCGCATATTTACCGAACCCAGCTAGTCTCCGATAAGGGTTCAAATTGGAAGAGATCGGTAGATGGAAGAGGAACGTCACCCACGCGAATTCACTTACTCGCAATCGATGAGTGTGCATCGCGCTCGCGCCTAGATAAATTAATCGTCGTACGAATTGAGAATGATGCAATTCGCAATTATTTCTCGGAAATCGGCGTCGTTTATCTGCGAGCCAAAACGCCACGGAATAGCTCCCACTCCGTTATCCTTTATAATTAACGCAACGAGTCGAATCACCGTTAAAATGCCCGACCTGTGCTCTCTTCTCGTCTCTTCTTCAAAGAAGACCACGTCGTGTGCTCGTATCCTCTGGTGATAGTACACATCGTTTCACGAAACGGTGACTTCCACGAAGTGGCCGAAACCCGAATAGATAACTTTATCGTTTTATAGGGCGATTTACTCGGTTCCCTGAAGCAGTTATCGTGGACCAGGATCGACGTGTCGTAGGAAAAGGAATTCCGCGCGGGAACGAAACGTTAAGCTTCCATCTACGTGCACGGAGGCCGTACCTTTGGGCAGAACGACGACCTGGTTCTTATAAGAACTCTCGGCATTATGCTCCTTCGGAACGTACTCGGTCGTTCTCTGAATGAGTGAGTAACAGAGGCCACGTGGAAGAGCGACAGAGATGGGCTGGCTCAAAGAGGACCGATCGGACGAAGACGAGAGACCGGGCTGCTCTGACCGGCTGACAGAACGAACAGCGAGAGACGAGGGAAGAGAAGATGGTCGAAAACGCCCTTGAAAGGAAGAAACGAAAAGGAGCTATTAGCACGTTTCACGTGCACCGCGATCAGCAGCTATTTTTACCCCCCATTTGCTTCTACGTTTCGTTCCTTTCCTTCTTGCTCGGCTCACCGCGTGGCAGGATATTATTCGGCAACGTTTCGAGATGGAAACACGTTTGAGTTTCTTGAATCTTTGCCATCGGCAGTTGGGAGTTGGATCTAGCGAAACGTTACATTCGTGGAAAGGATGTCGCAACAGAGTCGAGATTCAAGGCAAAGACGAGGCTAGGCTACTAGTGTGCATCTTCGATCTTGAATTCGTGTTCGAATGGTTACGATTGCGCGAACAGCGACGACGTTTGTCATGGATGATGATCCTGGCAAGAGTGAGATAAAAGTCCATAGAAAAGACATGATTTGAGAGAAACGAGTTCACCGAGCAATAGGCAAGATCGTTGCGACCAGCGCGCGGGCAAAAATAGACGTCCAACCGGGTTCCCGGTAATGGTCCTTTCAGACATGTAGATCTATTCGAACCACGCAGCAGCCAGCAGGAGCAGGAAT